ATATTCATTCACAACTAATCCAAGTCCCTTTTCTAATAACAGTATACCACATCACAGGTAATGTAAATACCTTATAATAACAATATATTCCCACTATCTCCCTCTTTTCCAAATCTTGTACCATTTATACATTTTATAGATAGATTCAAATATATTGCTTCTATTATTTTGAATAATCAATTACATCAGTTAAGAATATGAAATATAAAATATATATTTTACTTTTAATTTTTTACTCACTGGTACTCTTTTTTCTACAAAGATCCAAACTTCTGACCTGTTTCATTTTCTTTCTCTCTGAAGAACTTCTTTTAATATTTTTTGCTAGGTAGTTCTAATGGGAACAAATTTCCTCAAATTTTATTAATCTGAGAAAGTCTTTTTTTCTCTTTTGCTTTTTAGATATAATTTTATGTGGCACAGAATTCTAGGTTGATGATCTTTTTTTCTTTCAATGGTAAACATTTCATTTCATGCTATTCTTCGAGTATTTTCTGAGGACAAGTTGGGTGAACTTAAGAATTCTTATTTTTGTTTCTCTATAGATAAGGTGTTTTTTCCTCTGACTTTCTTCAAGATTTTTTTTCTTTACCTTTGATTTTCTAACATTTGAATATGAAAGACTTAGGTATAGATTTGTAGGTTGGTGGGTTTTGGGGGTTTTGGTTTTTATTTTTGTTTGTTTTTGCATTTATGCTGCCTAGTTTTTTTTGGGATTTCTGGATCTGTGGTGTGGTGTCTAAAACTAATTTGAGTTAATTCTCAATAATTGTTGCTTCTAATATTGCTCTGTTTCTTTCTCTCTTTCTTTCCCTTCTGGTATTCTCATTATGCACATATATTTTGTTTTTATCCTATAGTCTTTGGATATTCTGCTTGCTTTTTTCTTCTTTTCACTTTTCAGCTTTCAAAGTTTCTATTGTCATACCCTCAAGCTCAGAAATTCTTTCTTCAGTGATATCCAGTCTATCAAAGAGCCCAGAAGGCATTCTTCATTTCTGCTACAATATTTTCCATCTCTTGCATTTACTTTTTATTCTTTCTTAGAATTTACATCTCTCTGCTCATGTTATCCATCTGTTCTTGCATATTATCTACTCTTTCCACTAAAGTCTTCAGCATCCTCATGATAGTTTTAAAGAAATTCTTGATCTGATAATTCCAACATTCCTGCCATATCTGATTGATTTTGATACTTGTTCAGTGTCTCCACACTGTATTTTTTACCTTTAGTATACCTTGTAATATTTGTGGTGGTGGTGGTGGTTGAAAGCTGATCCGAGTGCTGGGTAAAAGTAATCACAATAAATAGGCATTTAGTAATGCAACAGTTACATGTGAAGAAGGGAAGCATTGTATGGTCCTATGGTTATGTCTCAATCTTTTGGTAAGTCTGTGCCCCTGGGCTGTCAACTTCACAGATTCTTCTCAGTTTTTCCCACCTTAGATGGAATGAGATGGGGGCTATTTCTCAACATTGACCATGAGCAGTGGTGGTTTTCAGATACAACCCTGGAGACTATTCTGTAACCAAATCAGCATGGAGCTGAATTGTCTTGACAAGAGTTGTGTGTACAGCATATGTGAGGATGCAGAACCATAGGACCCATTTCATAAAATCAAAATCCTTTGCAGTTTTATCAGCACTTGTGCCTATTGGAGAGTTTTACCATTGCAAGAGGATAAAATATTTAGCAAGTCTTCTGTCCATGACTTCAAAAGTGGATGAGAATTTTAAGATTTCTAGTAAAATACTCATTTGAAATGGTCTTGAATCATAGATATCCCTTTCAAGAAAAAAAAAAGTAACTAAGCATGTTTCCACCCCAAATTGCCTGAATTGATTTTCTAGAGCTGTAGTAATAAATTACTGGGTAGCTTAAGCAACAAAGTTTTATACTGTCACAGCTCTGAACGATGGAAATCTGATCTCAAAGTGAGAGCCTTGCTCCCTGTGGAGGCTCTAGGGGAGAATCCTTCCTTGTCTTCTGGCTTCTGGAAGCTGTCTGCATTCCTTGGCTTTCTTACCTTGTCCCCCACGTTGCTCCAATTTCTGCCTTGTCTTCAAATCACTTTATCCAACATGTGGCTCATATGGTAAAGAATCTGCCAGCAATGCAGGAGACTCAGGTTCAATCCCTGAATCAGGAAGAAACCCTGGAGAATGGAATGGCTACCCACTCCAGTATTCTCGCCTGGAGAATCTCATGAAAAGAAGAGTCTAGTGGGCTACTGTCCTTGGGGTAGCAAAAAGTCAGACATGACTGAGCAACTAAGCATGCTATCACTCTATGTGTTTCAAATGTCCCTCTGCCTTTTGCTTATAAATGCAATTGCCATTGGATTTAGGGCCCATCTGGACAATCCAGTAAGACCTTTTCTGAAGCCTTTTAATTTCATTGCATATGCAGAGACTCTTTCGTCCAAAGCAGGTAATAGTCATAGGTTTCATATAACTGCACCAGGACATATATTTTAGGAGCCACAATTCAACCTACTATGTAATAGGGAAGAATCCTTGTATTCTGTTACAAGTTAATCACTAAAAAGATGTTGCCTATAAACTTAAATTATACATAGGGGCCCCTCTCTGGAAACCCTGACTCTCAGGTGATGAGCACTAAGCTAAAATAACTTTGCTTAGCTCACAGGAAACATCCTTACCAGGCCCACTTTTGAATGACTGCAGGAAGGAAAAAAACACATCCCTTTCTGAGGCTGACTGGAGCCAGGAAATGTTTGACTTTACTCTCTCCTCATTTAGTATAAAAGAGGCCTGAATTCTAACTCAGACAAGTTGGCTCTTTGGAACTTGAGTCCACCATATTCTTGGTCTGCCAGCTTTCTGAATAAAGTTGCTATTACCTTCCCTACCAATTCACTTTTTGTATTATTGGCCTGTTGCAGGGTGAGTAGTATGTGCTTGGACACAATAATGACTACACGGTCTCTTCTCACTGTTATATGTTTATGGGTTGATTTATGTATTTCTCCCAAACTCATGTGTTGAAGTCCTAACCCTCAGTACCTCAGAATGTGACTTGACTTGCAAATTTGTTGTTGTTCAGTCCTTTAAGACTCTTTTCAACCCTGTGGTCTGTAGCACGCTAGGCTTCCCTCTCCTTCACTATCTCCCAGAGCTTGCTCAAACTCATGTCCATCAGTGATGCCATTCAACCATCTCATCCTCTGGTGTTCCCTTCTCCTCCTGCCTTCAATCTTTCCCCACATCAGGGTCTTTTATAACGAGTCAGCTCTTCACATCAGGTGGCCCAAGTATTGGTGTTTAAGCTTCAGCATCAGTCCTTGTAATGAATATTCAGGATTGATTTTCTTTAGGATAGATTGATTTGATCTCCTTGCAGTCCAAGGAACTCTCAAGAGTTTTCTCCAGCACCACAGCTGAAAAGAATCACTTCTTTGCATTCAGCCTTCTTTATGATCCAACTCTCTCACATCCATACATGACTACTGGAAAAACCATAGATTTGACTAGATGGACCTCTGTCAGCAAAGTGATGTCTCCACTTTTTAATATGTTGTCTAGGCTGGTCATAGCTTTTCTTCCAAGGAGCAAGCGTCTTAATTTTGTGGCTGCAGTCAACATCTGCAGTGATTTTGGAGCTGAAGGAAATAAAGTCTATCACTGTTTCCATTTTTTCCCCATCTATTTGCCATGAAGTCATGGGACCAGAAGCCATGATCTTTGTTTTTTGAATGTTGAGTTTTAAGCCAGTGTTTTCACTCTCCTCTTTCACCTTCATCAAGTGGCTCTTTAGTTCCTCTTCATTTTTGCCATAAAGGTGGTGTCATCTGCACAGCTGAGGTTATTGTCATTTCTCCTGGCAATCTCGATTCCAGCTTGTGCATCATCCAGCCAGGCATTTCCCCCTGATGGGAATAGTGTTGTTGCAAATGTAATAAATTCAGATGAGACCATTAGGATGAGCCCTAGTCCAATATGACTGGTGTCTTTATAGAAAAAGAAAATTTGGACACAGACATATACATGCACATAGAGAATACAATGAGGAGATGGAGGTCATGACTAGGGTTATACTTCTGGAAGTCAAGAAAAGCCAGAAAAATTGTCAGCAAAAAACTGGAAGCTAGGTAGGTGGCATGAAACTGATTCTCCCCCCTAGTTTTCAGAAAAAGAATCCTGTCAATACTTTGACCTTGAACTTCCAGAGTCCAGAACTGTGAGATAATCTCTGTTTAATTCACCCCTCCGTGTCCTTTGTTAAGGCAGTCCCAGCAGATTAATACATTATCCATTAAAAAAATCAGTTTAAATAGTGAAGATAAAATTATGGCCCATCCTAAAGGAAATCAGTCCTGGGTGTTCATTGGAAGGACTGATGCTGAAGCTGAAACTCCAATACTTTGGCCACCTCACGCAAAGAGTTGACTCATTGGAAAAGACCCTGATGCTGGGAGGGATTGGGGGCAGGAGGAGAAGGGGACGACAGAGGATGAGATGGTTGGATGGCATCACCAACTCGATCGACATGGGTTTGGGTAGACTCTGGGAGCTGGTGATGGACAGGGAGGCCTGGTGTGCTGCAATTCATGGGGTCACAAAGAGTCGGACACGACTGAGTGACTGAATTGAACTGAACTTATACTAATGTCAAATATAGATTTGAGAGTTGGGCCATAAAGAAAGTTAAGTACCAAAGAATTGATGCTTTTAACTGTGGTGTTGGAGAAGGCTCTTAAGAGTCCCTTGGACAGCAAGGAGGTCAAATCAGTCAATCCTAAAGAAAATCAACCCTNGGTGGAGGCGGGGGTGGGGGGGTAACAAAGTATATTTATGTGGTCCTAACTTTTTCTGTCTCCTTGCTTTCAGGCAATCACCAGAGAAAACTAGTCACAGTGTCTTTAGACTACATTTTGCTTAACACATTTAATTGTAGAGAGTCCAATAGAAGAGAATTTAAAATGAGTGTGATCTTTATTAGAATGCAAAAAGTGGTTCATATTAACTCCAACTTGCATGAATTAAATTTTATTTATTTGTATGCTGATTGTTGTAATGAGGAAAATGAAGACAACTTATAGGACAATATTCCTTTTTTGGCTTTTCTTCTTATATCCCATATTGTCCAAGAAAAGAGCCTGGGCGTTGACTGCTGTTTTTGAGTACGTCCTGGCTCAGAACTGTGACAAGCCACTCCTGTGCGTGTCTGTCCCCTTACAAGTCTTCCCTGATGAAGGCGCCAGTTTTTCCTTTCAAAACGTAACAGAGACCAAACCAAATCTCCCGCCGCCCCCTCCCCCAAGCTACTAGGCTTATGAACAAAACCTCTCTTCATTCTCTTTTCCTAATCTTAAGAAGTGCTGCTGAGCAAAGCTGACCGGCAGCGTTTTTGCAGCCCCATCTCTGATCCTCACTACTCTGCTATCCACCTACCTAACTCCCACCTGACGCAGATAGAGCCTGATTGTGCCCTCCGCACCCGGAGCAAGAGTGAACCGTGCCTCCGCCCAGCACGAGGGGATCCGTGAATCCAGCCCCTCCTGGATTTTTAAAAGGACACTGCGCTGGTCGGTCATTGCCAGGCGCCTCCGCAGAGTTTGGAGCCGATAAGAGAGCATCCCTCCCACTGGGCGTGCAGTACGGACAAGCTGAGTACACTTGGATTTTTGGCTGCCTTTTCTGCTAGGGTGGGTGGGGGAAAGGTGCGTCCTCCAAGCGTTAACAATAGAATCTCTGACCCTCTGTCTCCTTCTTCTGTCTCCGTCTCTCCCTTCCTGGTCTGTTTCTCCACCTCACCCCCCCTTTCTCTCAAGATATGGGAGCGCCCCTTCTTTTCCAGACCGGAGAGGGGCGCCTTTCCTGCTCCCTTTCCCCCATCACCCACCGATTTAAGAAAAAAAAAAAAAAAAGAGGGAAAAAAATCCTACCCGGGAGTGATAGCTAGTGGATCTGCTCGGCGCTGAATGAATGAATGGAAGCTGCCGGGCGGGCCTGCGCGCACGGCCGCCCTGCCCACGATGAGGTCGCCCGGCGGCCTGTAGGGCCCTCGCCAGCCCCTCGCCCTCCTCCCGCCCAGGGTAGAAGCAGCCGCCGGCTTCGCGCCCGACGCCCAGGCCGCGGTGGCCGAGGGGAAGGTCGGAGGGAGGGTTGTTTCCTCCCGCCCCACACCCAGTCTCCGAGCCGGATATATAGAGTGTCACGTTTGGGAGCCAAAAGACGAGAGCAGCTTCCTTGAGACTGGAGCACTTCCCGGAGCCCCGGGGAAGGACTGGGATTTCGAGGTCCACTAGTTGAGCCCGCCCCGCGCCGGAGAAGCAGGTACTCGGGGTCGCAGCCCGGTCGCGCGAGCGCCCACGCCTGTGCCGGCGAGAGCCGGCCGGGGTGGCCCGCAGGCAGGACGCGGCGGGGTCGAAAGCGAGGGCGGGGCGCCTTCGAGGCCCAGAGGAAGGGTGGGCGCAGGGCCAGGCGGGAGATGGGGGATTTCCGCTGCTCTGCCCTGGAGCTGCCCTGGCAGTCCGCAGTCAACCGCCAGCGGGTTAGGCGCGCCGGGCGCCGGCATCACTAGCTGAGGTGGGGCGCGCGGGGGCGGGAAGGGCGCGCGACGGGAAGGGCACGGTTGGGTTAACGCTGGAGGCGCGCGGTGGCCGCAGGCCCGTGGGTCAGAGGCACCTACCAGGTCTCGCGAAGGCCTCCTCGGCACCCCCCCCCCCTCCCCCGCCGGGCTGTTCCTGGAGAGAGCAGGCCACGTGGGGGGCGGCGGCTGCCCTCTCTGCTCGCTAGACAGTCGGGGCGCGCTTCCCGACTCCGGGCCCTACCTTGGGCTGTGCCCGCAAGAATCCCCCTGCTCGGGTGTCGCCGCTTACCGACCCCTAGACTGCAATGGGCCTGGGCGGCGTCTCACCCCATCAGCTGTGTTCCACCTCTTCTTGCTGGGCCTGGTCATCTTGGAGAGAGCAGGTAAGCGGGTACCAGATTACCACAGGTGCGGATGGGCTTGAGGGAAGGCTGCTATCACCCTTGGCGAGTACGATAACACGCGGGGAAATTCCCTTCAGTTGAAAGACTAAATGACCACCTTCCTCCTAGAAACCCTAGTAAAGCATCCCACCTGCCAGCCTCCTACTCTTTCACCTCTCGGGATGGGTAGAATTATGAACACTTATTCTTCCATGGATGGACTTACTAGGTGTGAGCAACCAAGGTTCTTTCTGGATCTGCCGGAGCTTTGGCGGCCGGTTGAATTATGTATTGCCCCATTGTGACATGAACAGGGATGAGAGTGGGGACTGCAGAGTGACCTAAATCTCAAGTGAATCGTGTCTTCCTACTTGTTAAAGGCTGCATCAAGAACTGTTTGACACGCTGTGCAAATGGAAATGTGAGAATTATCTTGAGGTTTCAATTACCCATCTCTCTGTATCTGTATTCATATGACTTGGAGATTTGGCTGAGAAGCCTATTTAATGGAAAAGGGCAAAGAGACTAAATATAGTTTTAAGTCAGCCACTCAAACGGAAGGAGCAGGTCTTAAAGTAAAATCCATGTTAAGGACCATTTGTATGTGAATTTTCTAGGAGATGGGATCGGTTTTTACCAGCCAGACTCAAGACTCACAGCCTTTCTTCTGTTGTATTTCTCAGGGCACAGGTCTTTAGAGTACTCTTTTCCCTTTTCTGAGAGCATCTTCTACACCTGTTCTGTTAACAAATTCCCACCTTACTCCTATTTCTGAGTTATAGTTATCTATAAAATTAGTATAAATCAGCATGAGTTGGTAAATCTTACAGTGAGACATTTCTCCTTAAAAGAGTGAGTGTAACATCTAATTGCAGAAGAGGGAGACGCTTCTGTTAAGGTGGTGAAAAAAATAAAATACCTCATATTAGGGTCATGTTTGGGTATCACTTTGGGGTTTGTGAAGAAAGTCATCTTGAGCATCTCAACGTCACCTTGAATGTCTCACCGTTTGCTTTACTATCTTCCAAAAATGCAATCAGATGTTACTTCTTTCTGGCAACATCTGGGCAGCCCTAAGAACTCTTTGTCTTTGTGTTAATTCTTGAGTGCTTATGAAAACTTATGCGTGAACAAACACAACCTCTGAAGGAACATTAGTGTACATTGGCACCAGCATGCCTCCTCTGCCAGTCTCTTGTGACACTGTGTTTGGTCTCTTTGACAACATTCATTACTCTTGAAGAGGAATTCTTAATGCTTTATTTTCTTTTGTTAACAGAGCACTTCAGGATCTGATAAAATCTACAAAATATGAAAAATAAACTTATGTGTATTAGCACAGAATTTTATCTACAATTTCAAGAGCTCGCAGCCTCTTGGATACCCAGTCACCCAGATGATAGAGGTCCAGAGACCTCAGGCTAGGCCAGCTCACAGGTCCGGTACCTAGAAGGGCCCCGTACTTGGTTTAATGTTCTGCTGTCACTGTCAGCTGTCTTAGTAATTTTTAAACAGGAGCTCCAAATTTTCGTCCTATACTAGACCCTTCAAATTCTGTAGCCAGTGCTGAGCACAGGTTGACAAGCCTATTCTGTTACTTCCTGAATAACAGCACTGTCTCAGCAATCCTACGTGGTGGGTGATTCTCTGATACAATCTGAAATTTAGCTGCCTCATGCTTCTGTCCCTAAGTCCTTCTACACCCAGTTTTCTCATTGATAAAGTAAACATAACAGAACAACATCTACTACTGTAATCATCCTAACAGGTTGTTGTGAAAACATACAGGTAAAAAGAGCTAATAATTGTTGAACTGTCTACTTACCTTGAACAGTTGTATACTAATAAAGATGGTATTATTACAGACTTACTTTTCTACTCCGTGTTTCAGAAGTAGCTTGAGGAAATCTGGTTAAGTACATCAGAAGGGTTGGAGAACTATTATAAACATGTTCTGGTGGAAGAAGAAAATAAAACAAAGTAGCTACGATTTTTAGTATTTTAAGTATTCCTTAAAAATCATTATTTGAGCAAGATTGAAATGGACAACTAAAAGTACAAAATACCTTTCTGGATCCAAAAGATACTTTTAGGATTAAATTGATATTTGGGGAAAGTTCATCCAAAATTGAACAATGAAAAACTGAGTCAATGATTGAAATTTTTTGAGAAGGTAATCCTTTCTGCCTCATTTAACTTTTAGATACTCATATTTTCAAAACCTTGAGCAAAGCACTCTTTTTAAATGTTCTGGGAGATACTAGGCAATGTAAACTACACCTCGGCTCTTAACCGGTTGTTTTCACTTCCTGTACCATTGCGGGAGGAACTGAGAAACCCCAGACAAGTCCTCTGTCCCCACATTCCTTTAGTTACTTTCCTCTGACCTCAGAACTTATCCTTACCACAGCTTTCATTCCCAGCATGATGGCAACACACTGATTGAGGAAGAAATAGCCTGAAAGGAAATGGGTCCTTTCTGAAAGAAAGGAAATGGCAACACACAGGGTTGAGAAAGAAAATAAACTGAAAGGAAATGGGTCATATTTCCATATTAAAGTCTTAAAGTTGAGGCGTTAAAAGCAGGTGGATGGGGACTCTCATTCAGCTGCTCTGTGCAGAGGCAGGCATGCTGTAAACTGTGGAGTATTAAGTAACAAGTTCTGTACTCCATAGATTTATGACATCATTGGCAAGACCGCATATGTAAATATAAGTTGTTAATTAACACACCTGATAAGTTGTTACAAGCCAATATGAGATTAGGCACCAAATGAATGGTACAGAAAATAAATACAATAAGTTCCTAACTAGAGAGTAAAGTAAACCAAACTGGTTGGTGAAGCTTAAGAGAAGAGTTACATGAGTTGGTCCTTAAAGTTCGCCTTCTAATAGAGATGAATGAATGAGCCTTTTGGGTGATAAGCGTGCAAAACATGGAAATCTGGAAGGGTCTAAAGTTTCACATAAGAAAAAGGCAGGAGATAAAAAGAACTTTCCACTGGCTAATTTTAATCATGTAATATGTAATTTTAAGCCCATTCTGTGACCAGACACAAATGACAGTTTTCCTGCATTTAGTGTGGAATAAAACAAGATGTGTAAGATCTCTTAGATCTTACAGACAGTAAAAAATAAATATATAATAGCACATTGTTAGAAGTAGTGTGGAGAAGAACAAGGGGCTGTGAAAAAAAAAACGGGCTGATTCAGATTTGGTGCTCTGTGAAGGCAAAGAGTCAGACACGACTGAGTGACTGAACTGAACTGAACTGAACTGAAGGTCTCTGAAAAGGAAAGATTTAAATTAATATTTGAAGGAGGCACAGGGATTCACGTGGCAAAAAAAAAAAGAAAAAAGGAGGTAAATGCAATTTAGGTAGAGGAAATAGCAAGTAGGAAATCTGTAAAGAGAAGAAAAGCTTGGAAGTGTTCAAGGATAAAAGGAAGGCATGTGTGTTGGATAAGGGAGTTTCTGAGAGGCTAGACATGAATGTGTGAGAGTGTGTATGTGTTTGTGTTTTGTGGGGGTGGGTAGGCAGGAGCCTGGTCATGCAGATCCTCACAGATCTTGATAAAGATGGTGAATTTTATTTTAATGAGAAGATTTTGAAGCCAGAGGGTAATTTACATTTTAAGGATACCTTTGTGGCTGCAATAAAGAGAATGGATCAAGAATGAAAAGTAGAATACAGTTAGGACACAGCCAGCGACTGTGCTGGCCAGGGAAATGGAGAGAAGTGGGCACACCTGAAGTGCATTTCGCAAGTCAAATTGATAGACCTTGGGGAAAGACTGGTGATGAGAGGTGGCAGAGGAAAGAAGTGTAAGAAGAAATTCCTTCAGTAGATATTGCTGAGTTTTTATAACTCAAAACTATTGTCCCTGAAGCATAGAATTTAGAGTTTTCACAGAAGAACTGAAAAGTGACATGGAAACTTATAACACTGCCTGGTACCTCTGAAAAATATGCCAGGCTGTTGGCAATGGGGTGAGAGAGAAGAAAATAATATGCTTTTTGTATTATCCTTTGTAATATTGAGATTATTTATGAAATGTGCACACACTTTACAATTTTCTAAGAGGTTTCCTCCACAACCAATGTGACTCCTGTTTTTCTGACTTGAACACATGTGTAGCATATGGGATAATCTAAAATGACAAAAACTCAGACAGAAAGGCCTGATCCTTATGCAAGTGATTGCTCTATAGCATAACTTACTCCCTTGCGTAGAAGCTTTCCATTCTTCCACCTTTTCTGTATCAATGTTTCCCAGAAATATAGTCTATGGATCATTAGTTTCTTGGGATGTTAATAATAGTCAAGTAAAGAAAAAGAAAAGCTTCCTGATCTTGTAAGTGTAAGGAACAGTTTAACCTAATTAAGCAGTTTTATTTCAAGAGTCCTTGGAACCTTTAATACACTATTAATGCTCTTTAAGAATCATCAAGACAGAAGAGAGATTTTATGCCACATTTCCTAAACTTATTTGACCTTGAAATGCTTTTTTTGGCAGAACATCTGACAGAGTCAGCATTAGCCTAACACGCTTTGGGAAATGCTGCCCTATATTAATAGATTAAACCTCTTAACATCCATAGCTTTCTATTAACCATTGACTTCTCTTACCTCTTTCATGCAACTTAGTTGGAAGAAAGCAGAAGACCAGAATTGAATTGACTCTGTTAATAAGCTCAAAATTGATGAAGAAAACAATTCCACTGTATGAATCAGTGATAAAATGATATTCACCAGCAAGATCTGCAGTGTGACTAAAAACAGTATTTAAAAATTTAACTTCTATTTCCTGGCAAGGCTATGCAGGACCTCTCGTGGGTACATTCTGTCAAGTTTAGATGTATCCATGAGGAAGCTGATGCATTGGCAATGGGGAAGGGCCTCTCCTGTCCGATGGTAGGTCTGAGCCTTAGTTGATGTTTGTAGTATATCCCCTACAGAATACACAGTGTGAACACGTAATATGTCTGCAGGAACAGTGATTTTGCAGTGAATCTCATTCATCTTTGTTCCTGCTTCCCAGTGTATTTGCATGGTGGTGGGCTGGAGGTAGAAGTGCAATTTATGACCAAAGAATAACCAACAGATCAGAACAGAAGAAACAAGTTCACACAGCTATGGACTCTGGCCAGGGCTTCATCCACTCGGTACTCTAGCCAGGGGGTCCACAAACAGTGACCTGAGGGCCAATTTTGGTTCCTGCCTATTTTACTATATCTATTGAACTCAGAATTGTGTTTATATTTTTAAATGGTTTTTTAAAAGGCAAGAATAATGTTCCATGGCACATGAAAGATTTCATAAGTTCACATTTTAGTATCTATAAATGAAGTTTTATTGGAAATCAGCTGATGCCATGCACTAATTCATCCTATTATCCTATTGCAGCTGCTTTGGTGCTCCACATAATAAGTAGTTGTGATCCGCAAAGCCTAATATATTTACCATCTGACCCTTTACGTAAAACATTTGTCAGCCCCTACTCTAGGCTATTAACTCATTGGCTGTTGAAATTTTAATAGACTTCTTTTTATATTAGGGGGTAGTCAGTTCAGGCTGCTGTAATAAAGTACTGTAATATGGGTTGCTTATAAACAACAACAAAAACCTATTTTTCTTAACAGTTCTGGAGGCTAGTGGTCCAAGATGAAGGCACCAGCAGATGTGATGTCTGGTGAGGACCACTTCCTGGTTCACAAATGTCCTTCTTTCCATTGTAACTTCATATGGTGGAACTTCACAAGGGAGTTCTTAGGAGTCTCTTTTATAAGGGCACTAGTCTCATTCACCAGAGTTCTCCCTTTGTGACCTAATGACTCCCCAGAGACCCCACCTTCAAATACCATAAGGTTAGAGACTAGATTTCAACATACACATTTTTGAAGGATTCAAACATTTCATTCTGTGTCAAAGCTAGAAATACAAATAGGTACATTGATGGACTAGAAGCTCCTCGAACATTATTGTCATTGAAGTCATGACAATGTCATTTATTGTGGATGACTAGAATAGCTAGTCATTGGAAAAGGCCCTGATTCTGGAAAAGATTGAAGCAAAAGAAGAGGGCAGCAGAGGTGGAGATGGTTAGATAGCATTACTGACTCAATAGACATGAATTTGAGCAAACTCTGGGAGATAGTGAAAGACAGGGAAGCATGGCATGCTGCAGTACATGGGGTCACAAAGAGTCGGACACAACTTAGCGACTGAACAACAACAGTATAGTTAGTGTTACCTGCCAATGTAAAGAGCAGAAGATAGTTTTGAGGTGATAGCTTTTGAAAGTTACTCAGACATTTGAACTCATATGTAAAGGATGGACTGTCAGATAAACATACCCAGGGTCCAAGAAGTTTAGGGGGTAATTAACCCCAGTATTACTTAGTTGTTGAAGTCTGCTGCTGCTAAGCATGGGATTCCTGTGAGTAGTCACCTTTGATTTTTATTTCAGTAAAGCAAATTTGTATTTTACTAATGCATCCTTTTTGTGAAGAGTGATGGTTTAAGGGTGACAGTCTTAAGTTTGGGATGACAACTATACCTTTCATTATCCCTACCCCACACCTATTGAGTCAGGATTTTTGGTACAAGACTCCCCAGGTTCCTTCATAGATAACCAGCACAGCACAGGTACAAATGTGAGAACAGCTGGTCCAGTTGCTTCTGTGGGAGTTAGAAGATGGAGATGGAGGCTTGTACTTAGGTCTGTCACTGTGGTCACAGTCTATCCAGAGGTCAGTATTCTGGGGAAATCAATCAAATAGGATGAAATACGGGGCTTCTTGCCAGCCACATTCATCAGGGTACTTTGCATGACTAATTCAGAGACCTGTCTTTAAAAAAAGTTTTGGTTTCAGGTGAGATCTTCATTCAACAGCCAATTTTTCCACTTAAGTCAACACTGTATCAAAGCAAAAAATATTGTATATTTCTTTGTATAACCAACAATGTGATTAAGTAGACAGTGAAAAAAATTACCTTGCGTTAATTGACAGACACTAAGAATAGCATATATCTATTGTTTTAGTCATGGTTTATTTTAAAACTCCTAGATAATTCTTTATCCTTTACCTCTGAAGTCCAGCAAAAGCCCTTTCTATCAGCAGCTGGCAATGCATCTCCTCTGGCTTTTGGACATGCTTTCTAATGCATTTTAACTTCCCAAGCTCCTCCAGAGATGACCCCCAATTGTTGAAGCACACACTTGAGGGAAGGACAAGAAGCTTTGCCTTGTGAATCTGTGTAGAAAAGGCAAAACTCTGACCTCTCCTATCCACTTACCCACCCATCCACCTCAGTGGAGATGCTGACCACAGTAACATTCACTGGTGAATAACAGGATGACCACAGGAGGCCAGAATGATATTTTCTGAGCCAAGAAATGAGAAAAAGTCATTGTGAAAATGCTCCACTGTTGGTCCTTTAATGAACCGAAAACTGGTTGTCTGGATTCGATGATGAGAAAGTGAAAGAAGGAGAGGCTAATATTCCCTGGGTTACATAGCCAGTTTTCACATTCCAAGGATTCAGCCAGAAATAAAATAGAATATATATATATAAAGAGAGAGAGACAGAGAGAGAGACAGAGACAGAGACATGGGGACCCAAGTTCTGATGGAGCAAAGATTTTTTAATCAACATGGTGTGGGCATATATACTGTCTTACAAGATAGTTATTCTCAGCAAAGATAAAGATTAAAATTCCAGACTTACAAAACATAAGGTGATCCCTATTAAAGAGAGAGAGTTGTAGACAATCACTTTTTACCATAAGGTTCATAAGAAGGAAGAGGTTACTTATCACTGTATTGAAAAACTAACGAAGGACATGCCTGGATTCCTCAGGCCCGGGAAAGGTGTGCCTCTCCTCTTAATTCCTGAATATTCAGGAATTAGTAAGGACCAGAGGATTCCTGACAGATCCAAAACAGCACACAGGAAGCCTCCTGACAATTCCCCTTCTTTTATTATATTTGTAAAAAAGGTCCTGACCAAATGAGTTTGGTTAGTATTAACCAACCTTATAGAAAGGCAATGATAAACAACAAATACAATTATCAAGACAGTCACCAAAGTTACAGTTCCAGACCTGATGCTGTGGGTAATACTTTGAAACCATTTTCGTGGGTCTAGCCCAAATAATTTGTTCAGCTAAAGTTTCTAAATTAGTGGAAGAGGGCAGACGTTTAGAAAAAGTTTTAAAGATTTCTTTTTGTAGTAATTTTACATTTAGAGAGGCATTATCAAGCAAATGAAATTTGATTTGTTCCCAGTTGTAGGTAATATGACTGAAATGAACAGGAGTAACACAAAATGGGCAATTAATACAAGTTACAGAACTTAAAGTCTTATTAAATTGTAAATTTCCTATGGCTATAACAAAAGGAAGTGGAACACAGGCCTGTATAAAATATGACTGATTATAGCGAAAGCAATAGTTACTGTGACCACGACTGGTCCCTGTGAAATGTCCGTTCTAAGTCCCAAGTTCTTCGGTGCTGGCAGCAAGTTTCCGTATGTCCTTATGTCCGATTGTTTAGGCCCACTCTGTTTATCGAGGACGATTTGAGGGGGAGGGGGTGTCATTCCACTGTCAAGCCAGCCAAGAAGTCCTTTGTCAAGGTAATGCTTCAACATAGTGTTAGTAACCTTTTACATAATGTTTTTTGTTCTTTCCCTAACTCTTTCCCTAAAGTTTCAGTAGTAAACATGGTTCACAGACAGAGAAAGGGCAGCAATGTCTGAAAGTCTTCTTTTAGAGGCAGGACGAAAGCCCAAGCTTGTCGGCTGACATTTATGCATAATTTTCCTGGGCCCAGGCACAGTGGAAGGCCTGAAGAAATGTTAATTAGTTTTCCTTCCTCCCCAGGGTGTGAGGGCTCCAGGGAGGGGGCATATGGGTGGAGTCATTGGTTGATAACCATCAGTCTTTTCTTTGTCCGTTTTATGACATGTAATAAAGGGGAGTTGGGTAAGAAAGTCCAGTTAAGTTTGGGAGACACAAGCTAGCAGGAAAATGTATTCAGGACTTCAAGACCTTCCCTGTTGAGAGACCAAATTTTCAGCTTATTAGTAAGGGTTTTTATCTGTCCCCCAAGAAGGGAGTTCATAGGGTTGATGCTGCCAAGGGCAGTGCTTTTTGGCGATCTTTAGAGGCACCATGGCCCGTATTGGAATTTTTTCCTCCTGGGGTTCTTGGTGTTTCGTCTCCATTTTGAATGCTGGGGGCCGCCTTGGGTCAAATTTTCCAAGGGAAAAGTTAGATCCATCTGGGGGAATACAAGCATATCCCTTTCCCCGTAAGGTTAATTTCCCAAATTTCTATTGTTTACTGAACCCGTCTTGGTACCAGATGGGCAGAGGAAGAGAACTGTCCTTCAATTCCTTGAAATGTCTTTCTGCTCTTGTTAAAATATTTCCCTGTGGTAGGTTTAAAAATTTTTAAACAAATAAAGCTGTATTAACAATAGTTATAGGTTTAGAAAATATCTTATGTTGGAATCTAGTGAAGTCTGCTTTAGATAAGGAAGACAGTAGTGTACCTGTGTATTCCCCCTTCTTTAATTTTTTTATTTGTAACTTTAGTGTGTGATGTGTTTGTTCGACTATGTCTTGGGTCTGTGGGTTATAAGGAGTACCTGTAACATGTTTAATAGAAAAGATTGTAAAAATTGTTTAAAGTGTCTAGAAATATAGGCAGGGCCATTGTCTTTTAATAGAACTAGGAGTTTGTGGTGGAGGTTTCTATATTTTTTAATATAAAAACAATGTATAGAGTCAGAGACTATATTAATGGGGTAGAGATGTAGGCAAATAACTTGAAAAAGAGCATATAATTCATTTTGTTGTGCAGAATGAAATTTAGTGTAAAAGATTTTATATTTTTTAAGAGACCAGAATGAAGCTTTGGCATTTTTAGTCCCATCTATATAAAAGAAATGCGAGAAATAACAAATTTTTTAGAAGTTTGGAAATCAGTAGAAGTTTGTAATGTGTTCTCACATTGAGATTTATTTGTAATAAAGTTTTATTAAAGTATAAAGGAGATAGAGAAAGCTTCTGACATAGGCATCAGAAGGGGGCAGAAAGAGTGTCCCCCTGCTAGTCTTTAGCCAGGTGTCATATAACTACTAGCAGTCTGCTAATTAGAGAAAGGAAATGTCTCAAAACTGAAGAGAATAGCACCAGGCCCCTCACCCACAACATGCATTTTGAGATAACCTTGGTACCAGGTGAGTTGTCCCGGGCCACAAAATTATTGACATGAATCTTGAAGAAAGGTAGGTTTCCAAGCAAATACAGTTTCACTTACATAGCTTAAGAGAACATTTGCATGAGTAAAACACACCGGTTTGTCAAGTCGGTTCTGAGCCTTAGGCAGAACCGACTTGAATAAAGAATCTAGGGGTAAATAGATAGTTCGTTAACTTAGCTTAAGACAAATATTTCCATAAGAAAAATGCATTGGTTAACTCAGGGTTTGAGAATAGTTAACTTCAAGTGAAACCAGGTGTCATTATGGCAACACAGTGTTTTAAGAGAAACCTCCTTTTAAGTTTGTATAGAGAAGGTTTGGTGTATGTGCTTGTCTGAGGAGCCAATGGGGCGAAGCTACCATCTGTGGGATTATGACTGAACGCCTCTAAGTCAGAATCCCGCCCAGGAGGAATGATACAGCAGCGCCTCGGAAACCTCGGTTGGCCGTCCCCGCAACCTCTGTTGGCCGTCCCCGCCAGCTGGCCGTCACCCTTGTCCCTCGGGGCGCGGTGCACACCGCCGTGCGTCAGCACCAGTGTCCGGTGCGGTGAGCCCTTGGTCTCGGGACACGGGGTGCGGCTGGAAAGGCGGCCGCCCCCTCACCCGTCACGCACCGCACGTTCGTGGGGAACCTGGTGCTAAACCACTGGTAGACGACCTGCTTCTGGGTCGGGGTTTTGTACGTAGCAGAGCAGCTCCCTCGCTGCGATCTATTGAAAGTCAGCCCTAGACACAAGGGTTTGTTTTTAAAAATATAAAATCTTTTAAAAAAGAGGTAAAAAAAGAGAAAATAAA